ACGACGAGGAGGCAAAATTGATCGAGATAGATGATCGTGAGATAGAGGAATATCCGGATAAGATAGAGGAGGAGAAGGTAGAGGAGAGGGTGGAGAGCACGCAGACCGAGCCCATCTCGACCAAAGACATAGCCATCGACTCGAGGGAGATGAGGAACGAAATAGAGAGATACGTAACGAAGTACAAACAATATAAGGATATATTCGAGATGGGTACGATAACGGGGCATTCGTTAATGTGGCTTGAGAAACCTAGGAGACCTCCTAAGGAATGCAGATTGCTTTGCCCCCAACCGAGCAGATACATCTGCTCGGGGATAAGCGATATGACTCTTTCTTGCGAGGTGTGCGATCAACGGAATCGTTGCTATCGCAACGATTTGGAACAATTTGCAAGAGCAGGGAACGAATATTGGTCGACTAGCGCTTACTCGTTTCAATTCGAGCATTACCTGCGGAGCTGCTGCTATCGTAACAATATATACAATTATTACAATAAAGCGATCAACTGCTATCGGTCTTACAACAATATACACTGCTGTGCCAGGACTCAATCGAACCATTTATCCAATTATTGTTACTCTTACAACTCTTGGGGATACTCTTGACGTATATATGATACTTTCAGATTAAATCGTTGTAATATTTTGGTACTAAAGCTAATCTTAAACTTACGATGTCAAGGCCTTCTGTTGTACATAACGTTTCGAAATATTAAAGAAATTATTAAAGAATAATATTAAAGAAATGTGACATTAAATAAAGGAATTATTCATTTTAAATAAAGGAAAGTATAAATATGCAAAGTGGTTTTTGCTCTAAATTGTTTCTTTTCTTCTTTTTTTTTTTTTTTTTGTTATATACTTTTCTTATTTCTCTATCATTTTTATAGTTTAGTAAAAGTCAACTATATCGCAAGATTCGAAAGATCTCGAATAATAAATTATTCTCTATAGATTTATTTAAAAAAAAAATTAAGGATAAATCATTCGTGGATAAAAAATAAATTTGTAACTTTTAATAACGATTGTTACAGATAGAAAAATTAATTACAATAGTAATCAAACGACGGTTAATAAATATGTCACTTGTTAATATTTTTATTTACAATAGTCGTCTATTTTCATGGTTAAAAATTCTTGGTGCAAAAAATGCGCGTAATTTTTGCGTGACACGAGCCTCTTTTTCAAAATTTCACAAGATAAAACGATAAAACGAGAGGAACGATAAAACGATCTAAATCTAGATCTGTTTTAAATTATTCGGTAACTGTTATAATACATGTAAATGTAAAATTAAAAAAAACCATAACGAATGTATAATTTCAAGGATCTCGTTATAACGATATAAAATGATTTTACAATCCGAATTACCTTTTTATTTTGTATTCTTGATTGTGCAGAGGAAAAGATGGTATTTCGATCCCTTGTTGGTAAGTTGGCTCTCGTAATTTGCATATTTATAACAAAGACATCTAATTACAAACGTAGTGTAACGTAGTTCGTCTATTAATTATTTAAAGAAAAAAATAGAAAATAATTAATACTCGTAACGAATATAAATAATTTAACCTTACAAAACAAAGAACAAGAATTTCTTTTAACTTTAATTTACAAGTAAATTCACTTACTTAAATACACTTACAATTTTATAAATCATTTAATCGTATATATTTTTTAATTGATTATCGATATTTACAAATTTTTCAATTAAAAAAAATATACTGATCTCTGATAATAAAATAACCTCATACAAAAACGTTATCAAAAATAAATAAAGAATACGAATAATCGAAACATATTTTCTGATTATTTCAAACATAGAAATTATTCGATATATCTCGTAATAAAATATAAATTAAATCTCTAATTTACGACTATGTAAATCACAATATACGATTCTTGTTTCTTCGTAAATAATAAAAATTCAAGAATTATTTCCTAATAATTTTTATTAAAATATTTCCACAAAATTAAATTCAACTCGATCGTTTCCTTTTTCATCCTTAATTTTTCGTGCTCATAACCTCTCAAACTGATTTACCCAAATCCTATTCTAGATAAAAATTTCGAACAATTTAAATTACTTGAGGAATCGGATTTTGGATCGGGCCCTCTTCTTCTTTTAATAATCCTCGAAATCGAGTGGACGGAAGAGGCCGGGGGCTTAAAAGTTGGCCGAGCAAATTTCTTCGCCGCGGGCGGCGTATCGTCATAAGTGGCCCCCGTTGGTCAGCCTCAACCTTGCTCGACCTGTGTCGAGAGAAAGAGAGTGGAAGTTTGTCGCGAAGTTAGCCGTCGCCGGCCAACCAGAGGCTCGAGTTGGAGCATCCCCCTTCGAGCTAAAAACCTGCGTACGACGTGTAATTATTGTGGTGGGTGGCTCGTTGTCATGTCGTAATAAAAAAAATTCTAGGGAAATACAATTATCGTGTCCCAAACCGTTGCCAAGCCTTAGCAAGGCCGTTTTTAAACGTTGCATATGCATGGAATTTAGAAAATTGCTAAAGGGAAAGGAAACCGAGAAAACTTGACGTTCGAGGAAAGGAGAAAAAAGAAAAGGAGAAAAGGATGCGCGTGTATTTGTTCGAGCAACCCCTGTTAAACGAGTAATTATAATTACAGAGGATAAGTTTAATGTGTGGTCTATTATTGTATTATGTTTGTAGATATGATACAAACTTTAAATATATAAACTTTTGTTGTACATTTTGTTCACTTGAATATGGAAAATGGATAATAAATCTTTGATTCGAATTTGAATTGAAAGATTACAAAAGTAGATGAATTTTGTTCTAAGGATTATTGTTTTTCTAGAAACTTTTTCAATGTTGAATAATATCCGCATTTTCGCGAGATTTATAAGAAAATTTATAAAAAAAAATACACTTTTTTTTATCGATCCACTTTGAGATCAGCCTTGAAAAAGTACAACTTATCCAATAACACAACAATTTTAACTCTCTTTTTAAATTTTTTCTCGACTTACGAAATATTAATTAGAAACAAATTAATATCGAGTGATTCGATTATTTGACAAATATTTACAGATACGAAAGGGAGAAATAATCCGCAAAGAAATCTCTCCTTCTACCTTCAGCCGTATATCATCTCAGCTCATACATGAATCCAACGGACGGTACGAATTTGAGCAAAGTTCCAAACAGCAAGTGTTCGCCCGTGGCTCGTAAAATATAAAATCGCTCGGATATTTCGCGACAACGGGTCTTAAGAGAACATTTCGCTATCGTAAATGGCTTTCGCCGGTCAGTTATCCACGGAAAACTTCCATCACGGGTTTACCACGAGCTTCTTCTTCTTCTTCTTCTTCTTCTATCCTCTCTTCAGTTGCAGGGAAAACCTTGTACAAAATGCGCCATCGAGAAATATCCGTATACACGCGTCACAATTTCTTCCCTTTTCTCTCTCTCTCTCTTTTTCCTCTTTATTTTTTTTTTTCCAAAACACATGGCACATGGCCGACGTGGTGAACAACGTATGATACCTGTGTATCCGGGAGAAATTTGAGGGGGAGAGGAAGGGGACAAAAAAATGTCACGAAGCTGTAATAAAAACGACGGCTTTCAAGGAAACTCGAGAACTCTTCGAGAGAGTTCCCCCTCCTCCCCCTTGGCTAAAATCTCCGGTGGTTGTTGTCAAGAATATTTCGTGGCCGAGGAGACATCCCCCTTACATCCCCCTTAAGGGAAGATCGTGATACCTTAAGTGGCTTTAATGGTCAGTGTCCATTGAGACGAAAATTTCGCGGAACTTTGGTCCCCAAGTTTGCCGGAAGCCAGGGCGCAAGACACAGAGGCCTGGTGCCTCCCGGTTACAGGCCTGAGTGCCAAGTATCGCCCAGGACACGTGAGTAATCCTGAAGAACACGTTTCCCTGATGCAACCTCGTCATCAGTTTTAGATGCCACTCCGCCTCTGTTCTCTGGCTGCCAAGTTGCGAAGCCGCAGGGACGAGATGCGATTTGCAAAGTTGAGGAAGCGGATGATTGTTTGAAAATTTGTTGGATACAGAAGTGAAAGATCGTTATTTTATATTTGGGGAAAATTGTTGGATTATTAATTGTATTGTGATGTATATTTGGAATAGAATTATTGCTCAATAATTCAATCGATCGAGTTATTTTACATCTGTGATTGAAAAATGATTGCCTTGGAATATCAGAAAGTAATGGATTTATCAAGCTTTTCTATTCTCGATCTTGAGAATGATGAGAAAATAAGTGTAAACTTTCTTCTTCGTTTTATTTCGATTACTAGATGACGTAAAGTAAATTAAGAAAAATAGATCTATCAAATTTTCCCTTTTGTAAATCTTAGTTTATGAAATGAAAATATTAAAATTTTAACATCATAATTATGTACAGATAATATTATTACCGTGAATCATCGAAATTAAAATAATCGCGTTCGAGAAAAAGACTGTACGATATAAATATATAAATTGTGCAAATTAATCATTCTCGATCCCATGAAATCGAATTACATTATCAAAATATAAATCTTCGGGGAGCAATAAACCGCTATCTCGCGGATTTATCGAGATAATAATTATAGAACGATTTGGAACGAAAATTTCCAAGTTAATAAACAAGGAGGAGGGAGAGGGAGGGAACTCGTTAACAATTCGTTAAAATAAAGTGAAACTTGGACGGTGTTTAAATATTACACGATACGCCGGGGTGTTTGGTTTGAAAGCAACGAGAACCGAACAATCTCTTGGTTCAATATTTAATATCATAACGAAACCAAACTAATTTCCCCCGTTTAATTAGTATTGATCCGAAGTGACTGAGCCGCGCTTCTATAAATCCTTTTTTTCAACCCCTCCTCCCCTCCCTCCGAGTGCATAACCCCTAAATTATCGTCTAACCTTAAAATCATTTCGAGAACATTTTTTTCTTTGTCTTTTCTTTCCCTTTTCTTTTTTTAATAAAGTTAGGAGAGGAACCCTCTCCTCTCCTAACTTTATCAACTAATCATCATGAGATTCTTAAATTACCTGAACAATACACCTTATCGTCCTCGAAGGATCCTGTGCGTGTCCAAGTTGACCTCGTTGGAGTACCTGCGATCCCAGAATCCCGATCTGAACGTGGATCAAATATTGTCGAAGATGAAGAGAGAGGGCCAGAATCCGGATGATATCCTCGCCGAGCATCAACGACAGATTGCTTGCGAGCAAAATCTGATATCGGTCCTCAACAAGCTCGACATCAGTTTTCGTATCACGAAAAGGTATCGGCAAGAGTTGTTACGTAATATACTTTAATGCCCGATGAAACAGCTGCAGCAACAAACGTAGGAAGAGAGAAAAGAGGAGGGATATATATATATATATATATATATATATATATATAT